CTACTGCCAACTTATTAAGTGCTCCACGATCTCTTGTAACCCCTTCCTTCTTTAGAATCATTCTCTTCCTCTAATTCCATACATCATGCTCATATATGGAAGTTATTCCATGACCCACGTTTCCCTTATCCTTCTACACCCACGTTTCCTTGATTTTAGTAACCTCCTCAACTAGACCTTCCTTTTTGGTTTGGAATACATGCGTCGTGGCCCCAAGACTTCAGCGATTTTTCTTAGTAAAATATATATAAATATATTTCCAGAAATATACATCATTGCCCATGATCTCCTGTAAACCACGTTCCCTTGGATTTTTAGGTAACTTCCCTCCTTGAGACCTTCCTTCCAGGTTTTGGAGTTCATGGTGCCATGACCTCCTTGATTTTACGAGCTTCCTCATCGTGGTTAGTTTCTCAGAATATATATATATATATATATATATATATATATATATATATATATATATACACACATATATATATATATATATTCATCCAACCTACTTCCCTTTCTTCTGCATAAACAGTTGACTTAATAAACGTTGAAGCCTCCTAAAAATGAGGAGAGAATCCAGGCCCACGTTCTCCTTCTTCTGACTTGGTCAACTTCGATTTTAAATGGAAAATATCCATTTAATTGGTATCCTATAGGATCTTCTAATAAATTCATCTTTAAAAGAACTAATCTGCCGTGGCAAGTTTAATAAAACTCGCCACGTGTTATTAAAGCATTGGCTAGTTGACCTTTCACTTGGATATTCTTACGAGGTTACACTCATAATAACAACTACATGTTGCCTCCTTACACTTTTAAAGACATCAAATCCAAAGTTGGTAAATCCTGCTAGGACTCACCACTTTCCTTTAATTAGTAATTCCACGTGGTTTTAATATTCCAAAGGAATATTTGTCAGCATTGCACTCTGACATGGCAAGTTCCACTGGAACTTACCATATACCTCTTTTCTATTAGTGGACCACTTTAATAATTCCATGTCACACCCTCCTTTGTTTTTTTTGGATAATTGGAGTACTAATTTTGTGTGGCAAGTTCATTTTTGTGTGGCAAGTTCATTGGGACTCACCACATGTCATCTTTCCATTAGTCTAAAACAATGGAATAAACACCATGTATGTCCTTCTGATTAGGCCATACGGGTATAAATAACAAGGAGTGGTTGGACCCTTGTCAAAAGAAAATGGGTTAAAAAATATGCACTCCATTAATAGCCTTTCTTAACTTCACCCCAAAAAATACTCTTCGTGTCTGGTTTAGCTACTAGTTCTTTCGTAGTCCATACCACTTCAAGAATATGCAAAAAGGTTTGTTGGTTTGTCAACTCACAATGTATAGGTTGCAAATATGATCCTACACATTCATAATAACATATTTGAAGTTTGAAGCAGTGGAACCAGTCACATAATTTCCAAAAGTAAAAAAATAAATAACAAGTCGCATGCATGGACCAGCTCAAGTAACAATATTCATGCAATCTTACAATCATATGATCCAAAAATACACCATATTGATTTGGACGGTACAACAAAATCTATTATTGATAATCTAATCAGGCTTTGAATGGTTTAAATTCATATACGAACAAAGTGGGTGGTTCAAGGACGGAGGGAGTTAAGGCCCCTAGATTTTTTCCTTCTCCTTATATTAGATGCCCCTATATTTTCTCCATCCGTTAAAGTGTTTTTTTTTTTCTTCTTTGTTTTCCTAATTTCTTAAATTGTTTCTTTATATTCTACATATATAATTTATTAATTGGACAATACTTACCTGCTCACCGATGAGTAGGAAGTGCATGTTTACCCCGATATGACGTAAAAGTAATGTGACAAGTGTCCCTAAAATAGAAAATAATAACAATTAAAAAATTTGAATGCTTACCGAGTTAACCCAATTGGATGCAAATCAAATCAAATCCTAATTTAACTCTCCATCTCTTTCTCTCTCTCAAACTATTCCACTGAAACCCTAATCTACTAATAGTGGAAGTTTTGACTTTCATCTTCCATGATTTAATGTGATTATTTTGATCTAAAGTACATCAAATTTTATAAAATCTAGTTCACATGGTTTGATAGATAATTTGTTGATTGCAGGATAGATTGTTATTACTTTTTTTTTTTTTTTTTTTTTTAGCGAAAAATAAATATCTATGTATTATTACATTTATAGTTATTCTTTCCATTCATCATCCAGAACTTTATTTGTATCTTGTAATATTATTTTATTTAAGAATTATAAAATGTTTTTTTTTTCGACAAGATCCCCTTCTCATTCATTCACTGGAGAAAAAGAGTAACGTGAGAGAGAGGAAGAGAGTTAGATTTGGATCATAATGGGTTTAATCCGAATAACTTATCAAACCTTTTAATTTTTATTATTTTATATTGTAGGGACCCATATTCTACCAATTTTGCAAAATATCAAAGTAAGCATATACTTCCTACTCACCAATGAGTAGGCAAGTATTGTCCTTATTAATTTATCTCATTCCAAAAATATATTTCTCTTTAATTATAACAACCTATCTATATATATATATCCTTAACATTGATTTATATATAAACAATACGTATCCTGAAAAATATTTATGGCTCTGCTCCTAGATGGGTCCACGCAATAAAAATAAATAAATAAATAAATAACATGATTCACATGAACCTAATAAATATGTACATGCATCATGAGTAATGAACCTATATACACCAGTGTATCTTAAAAACTCGTTTTGAATATGGAATCTCTCTATTATATATAATGAAGAACAACTGTAATCGCGCACACATTTAAAATAACAATAATATAAACACTGACATGTCTAAAATATAGAGTATATCAGGATGTATTTATAGCAATGCGGATTCCATAAAAAAAAAATAGGGTAAAGTGTAATAAACCACCCTCAACTATACCCCATAAGCAAAAAAAACCCCTAAAATTCTAAAGTAGCATAAAACCCCTTTAAACTATGTTGTTTGTTGCACTTTACCTAATCCGGCAACCGGCCGATGGACTTCTAACATATGCCTTGCACGTGATAGCCCATATTTTTCTAAATGACCATAGAGCCCTTATGGAATGTAAAAGACCATAATGACCTTTAAAGACATTTGAACACAACTAATATGCAACACGCCCTAACGTTTTGTCCTTCTTCCTCGTCGATCTGTGGAGTATATCTATATCTGCCAATATATATACATATTTATATATATATATATATATATATATATATATATATATGTATATGTATATATATTGTATGTTTTACAGAGAATGAGTTCCTCTATAGCTGCCTATATATGTATACATCATTTAATTTTGTTTAATGGAACTTCTTTCTCTCTCTCTCTCTCTATATATAGGTCGTGTACACATACCAGTCCATATTCATGGCAAGTTTTCATCCAGAAGATAGAGAAATTTGATTTTAACAGTAACATAACTGATTCTCAACCCCAATCACAAGCAAACCCAATCGTAAATTTTAACCCCAATCGCAAAATTCTTAACCATCACCAAACCCAATCACAAAGAACTGATTTGCAAAACCCAATCAAAAGTAAATCCAATCGAAAAACCGCCATGAATATTTTATCACCGATCACCAAACCCAATCGCAAAATTCTAAGCCCATCGCCAAACTCTTTGCAAAACCGAATCGAAAGCAAAGACAATCACAAGCAACTCAATCAGAAAACCTGTTTTATCACCGATCATCAAGCAAACCCATCGCAAAATTCTCCACCCATCAACAAACTAATATAACATAAATTTAATTGACACCACCGCCGCTACAATAGCCATGTCGGTGGGTCTTTTCGTCGAAATAACATTCTGAAGCTCAGTCTTCACCAACATTCTCTTCTCCTGCAAGTTTCAGGTTAGCCCTCACCAAACAATTTCAGAGAGAGAGAGACGTATAGTAAGAGTGGGTCTCTAAAAAAAATAATAATACAGTTGCCCAATCTTGAAGCTCAATCTCAATCCACAATAAAATACCATCACTGTTGCTGAATCTGATGCAGTCATCTGTCATTGTTATGCAAACTCTGAAAATCCTTCAATTGTCGAATAATTATACAAGCTAACGAGTGATATATATATATATATATATTTTGTAATATTGTTCATCTTCTTTACAAGAAGTGACCTATGAAAAAAATATATATATGTATGTATGTATGTATGTATGTATGGGTATGGTGAGGGGAGAGATAAGATTGGGTATCAGTTATGTTGATAAGGTTGGCTAGGTGTTGACATTTTAGTGGATGTTGTGATAAAGGGGTCCCACATAATTTCACCAATTTAAAACTTACATCTCAGCCTAAAACACCACACTTTCACTTAAAGGGCAAAATGGACTTTATGAATTTCCGGTGAAGGAAGGAAAACGGAATAACACTCTCTGTCCCAAGACTAAACAAAAACCATAGTTGAAGGAGGTTATTTGTAGTATAGGGGGGTTAGTTGCATTTGGAGTATAGTTGCAGGGGGTTTAATGCACTTTACCCTAAAACAAAATATAACCCCAATAAATGAAATAGTGTGACCCTAACATGACTAACTTGACCAAATTTTCAAACAAAGAGATTATCAACTCTCAATCATTTCATATCTCAAGTCCAACTTTTACCATCTGCAAAGAAATATCCAATATTTGGTCCATTATTTTAATACTTAATTTCCTACTCAAATTTGATGAGACGGTTTTGACCATGAATAATAATGTATATAACTGAGCAGTAGTGAGGGGCAATCATGATGGGTTCCAAAGACTAGGGGCCAACTTCGTGAGGGAAAAGTAAGAAGCCTTCCGCTCAACTTGCCACTTTCCACATAATTGTGAAGTGTTTTTTTAAACCTTATAATGTTTTTTTTATTTTTATTTTTCTTCGTGAATGGTGTGTTTTTTATTTATATATAAAGAAAAAGTAATACAATTACAAATAGGAGATGAACTCCCCAGCAGGAAAAAAAAAAAAAAAAAAAAAAAAAAGGAAGAAGAAGTAGTAAATGGACTCCATTTACATAGCAGTAAACCTAAACGGACTAAAACAGCTCATGAAGACCTTTAAACAGACCATGCTGCACTAGAAAATTCTTTTCAAAATACATAAAAACTGATGTCATGACCTTCCATTCTAGCTGAACTCAAACCAGATATGCAGCCAAACTTCTATCAGCAACAAATCCACCAGCAAAGCTTCATTACACCACATCAAAAAGAGCAAGGAAATCAGCAAGACCAATATAAAAGAAGTTTAAAACTTCCCAAACAATATCATTTGCAGCAGCAGCAGCAGAGGAGACTTTTGTATCACAATGAATTTGAGGTGACAGTTAATTGGATACATATATAGGCTACATGGTTTAATTTTGTTCTACACCAACATTATTTCCCTATTATTACTAAAATGCTCAACAATTGATGTTCTATTTCTTGATTGCATGAAGATCAGCAAAGTACTTTGTGATCCATCCTTCAATGATCTTGATTTCCATCTGTCGTTGCTTGACCAACCAATTTGGATCGGTTTCCTTTGCTCCATGTATGTCTAAACAATGAGATCCTGCAAATTAAGCATATAGTGTAAATCTCTTGAAATATTAATACTATTTTAAACCTAGATGGGTAAGTATTCATGCATATATATATATATATATATGCTTAATTGCACTATGTTTCTGATATATAAACATTATTATAAGATATATTTTTATATAATATTTTAAGCCTCTCCTATTTTTTTTTTTCTTTCAGAAACTATGTCTCTCCTATTATACATAAATATATGCATAGATGAATATCATCTCGATCTTCTCTCTGTGTATTAATTATGCATGCAATCTGAGCCAGCCCTATAAATTGTTTGGTCTGATTGATAATGTCCATAAATACCTTTTGCTGTATAGATGGCAAGGAGAGAGTCAGATATGTCCTCCAATACCCTGTGATGGATCAGAGAAGAGAAAATTAGCATATTAGGTCAATTAAACTAATTGATTGATTTTATTTTTTAATTAACAAAAAAATGAAAAATAAAAATGTCTTTTTCAAATACCCGGCACTACTATACGGATCTCTCAGTCCATTGGAAAAAATGATGTTGCTGGCAAACCTTTGGAGAACCAATTTTATATCCTACAATGAGCCATGAAAATGAATATCATAACTTCTAATACTTATTTAATAAGTCTATAAATAATTAAGAAAAAATCAAACAAAAGTACATACATGGCCTCCGTAATAGGTTGTGACCCAATGAGGTCTTGGTGGGACGCCATACGAATCCTTGCACTTGTTGACGAAGTCATTTAAATTGAAAGGTGAAGGTTGGAACATAGTATCATTGCTACCACGACCAATGGGCATCACCATTTCACTACATGTCTAAATGCACCAACCAATAATTTAAAAAGCATCACCATTTCATTAGATGTTTAAATACACTAAACAATAATTCAATAAAAGATAATTATAATTAGTTGTTTTGAATCTGTTTGGTTCAATTTCTTTATTTCGATTCCTGAAAACAGAACAGAAAATTTTAATACTGTAAAAAAAAAATTTTAAAAAATAAAAAATAAACTTAGTTAAAATAATTAAGGTTTTCAGATAACAATTTTTAATTATCCGTTTTTCTTTTTTCTTTGGCTCTCTCTCTCTCTTATTTTTATTTTTTATTTTTGAATTCTTGAAAATTGCTTTTTAAAAACTAAACCAACTATGAAATTCCATAGTCCGGATGCAACTTACTTGCCATCTCCACCCCACACTTGTTTGACTAGGGGTTACAGTGGTATTATAGCATGATCGATTCCCTCTATAAGCAACGACACCGGCAAAAATCCGGCCAAGAATATCAGTTTCCTCAGATGCTCCATCAATTCCACCGCAGACAACGGTAACCGGATATGTTGGTGGATGATTATATTGAGCTGCAACAGCATAAATGGTTTCTAAGTAGTCCTTGAGCTCAAGCGATCTCTTTAACTGCCTGAACCAATATGAAAGTCATTCATTTCTTTGACAAGAAAATTATACAAGTAAATTAGTGGAAAAAAGAGTTAGTGAAAAACTATATATATGGGGTATATATTTACGAGCAAGTCTTGAATCTCTGGCTAAGAACTGAAAGACCATTTTGCCGAGAGGCGACTTTATCGATTTCAGACCATGATTTTAGTATAGTTTGATAGCAACTCTTACTGACTTCCTGCAGCACTTCATCGTACCAATATCACTTGAATGGCTCATGGTTGAAATTAAGAAAATAAACAATTGTGAAATTTAATTTTAATTAATACCTTGAAATCCTTCGTGACAATTGCATAATACCCGTTTTGAGGAGTGATATCATCGAAGTAAAGGATGGGTGCTGATGAAGCTAGAGCTCCGAGGGCGATGTGGGGATACTTCAGCAGAAACCACGATGCAATCACTGAAAATTTTGAATTGGAAAATAGTATATAGTATGGGAATAAAGAGAAAAAAATGATGTGTGTGTATATATATATATATACGTGGTCAATATTATCATAGATGCTTACTTCCTCCATAAGATCCTCCAAGGACAATAACAGGAGACTCCTGAGCAAAGAATTTGTTCTTGAGATATATGATTATCTCTGCATAATCTGTTATTGCTTGGACTGAGTTGAAATAACCGCGAGTAGTATCATTTTTCATCGCTTCTTCCATTGATCCGAATGGAATTGATATTCCATAATAACGATGCTGATCATGACCAATATTGTCAGAGTTTAATAAATATATAGATATATATTCACACTCAAAATAGTTTTAAGATAAAGAGGTGATGGATTTAGTAGTGTACCTCTATATAGATTAAGAGAGCTTTAAAATGAGGGGCATGATCGGTTAGAAAGCCAACTAAAGGTATGTCACCATCCAATGGAGCCTCGGCACCAAAATAAACGAAGATTGGCGCGCGCTCCTTGGCGCCACCCCAATACTGAGAATTGATTACATATTTTTGTTTGAAAGTGGCATAGCTTTCGGGTCTGTAATTGAAGTGATCCAGTGTTTGGTCGTAAAAAAAGGTTTCGAAGTCTTCTGAGATTGGTGGTGGTTGTGTATCAGGTTCTTGTAGGATTACACTGAGCCTTGGTATCTTATATGGTGAAGTTGAAGATACGACGGTGGTGGATGAGGAGATTAAAAAGGAAAGTAACAAAGAAATCAATTGAAACAGAAGTGAAAGCAAGGTCATTGTTATGTGTTGAGGGCTAGCTAGCTAGGAATGTTTCATAAAGTTTCTCTCTACTTTGTACATTTATATCCAATTCCTACCCACTCGACTGATTTGGTTTTCCTAGTCAAATAATGTCTCAAAAAAAAAAAACAAAAAAAAACACAAACTAGTAATATTGGTTTGACTAACAACCTAAACAACATTATGTGGTCTTAGTCTTCATTTGAATACTTTATTCATACAACTAATTTATTCTTTGGCTTTATAGACGTTTGTTCTCAATGTCCTTATTAGGCACCATCAATAGGCTGAAATATTGCAATTTTTAACAATATTTTGGAATTGGATTTTATTGCCTGCGATCACGGAATTCAATTGATTTTCATAATCTTCCCTATGTATAAACTTTACTTTGTAAATTACCAATGCTGTATATACAAAAATATGAAGTACATCAAAAAAAACTTAGTTGCGCTTACCGATTTTATTGTTTATTGTCACAAATACACGCTTACACATATAATTCAGATGTGCTTACACGTTATAATGACCTCAACTAAATTTTTCTTCAAATACACCATTAATTTTCAACTCTCTTCATTATTTTTTAATTTATTTATCAGAATTATTTTAACCAAAATATATAAAACTTTATTTATCAGTCCTTAAAAAGAGGACGGCCATTTGGAAACCATTAATCAGATATGAGATATGATTAATTAGATACTCTGACCATTCTAATCCTAATCATTCTAATCCTAATCAAGTGGGATAAAATATTAGTGTTCTTCCCTCTACACTTTGCTCACTTAATCTTTTTTTCTCCCTAAATATCTAGCTCAATTATTTCAACATGCATGATAGGCCAACATTATATATTTCCCTCTACACTTTGCTCACTTAATCTTTTTTTCTCCCTAAATAACTAGCTCAATTATTTCAACATGCATGATAGGCCAACATTATATATATATATATATATATATATATATATATATATATATATATATTAAATAATATATAGGTCATCCACACCATACTAACCGCTGATGTAAACTAATAATAAATGAACATGTATGATGGAGTAGATACCCGAACACTTACCAAATGAGATATGGTGATTTGATTACCATCTAAATTTGATAATTAAAATATGATGTGTTCATTTATTATCAGTTCACATATGATGGAGTAGATACCCGAACACTTACCAAATGAGATATGGTGATTTGATTACCATCTAAATTTGATAATTAAAATATGATGTGTCCATTTATTATTGGTTCACATAGCGATTAATATGGTGTGAATCCTCACTAATGAGAATCTAAATATTATTCATTTATTTTCCTCTTCAATTTCAAGTAAAGACAGTTGAACACATAATAATTTTATTATTAAAATATTTATTTTATTTATTATTATTATAATTATTTTTGATGAAATTGTAAATCCAAATGAGTGGCAAATTTATTTTCTTTCAGGACACTTGATTTCCATAACATCATTATGTTCCACAAAGCGTGAGAAAATGCAAGTAGGGAAGTACTACCAAAATGGGCGATTTTTCTATGCCAATCTCTCTCTTCCACAAAGAAATATCTTTGTTAGTGTTTCATTGGTTTCCCGTGGAACATTGGTCACCATAGAAATGCCTTTTGATAGTATCATTTATGTTTCTCGTGGAACATTGGTCAGCATGAGTCACTCCTTCGTAATTTTGATTTATAAAGTTCATAGAGTTGTATGAGTTATATATGACCAAATGCTAATTAATTATTAAAATTTGATTGCCCTTTTCTTTTTTGTTTTATTTCCAACATCATTTTCATGTTCAATAATGATTCTCTAGAGGAAAAAGAAAAGCTGTGATACACGTTTCATTGATGAGAAAATGGAGTCATGGAACACATGTCAAGTACATATTTGGTTATTTAAACTAAGTGAAACTGCCTATAATAGCCTCAACTTCTCTTAAATGTCTAAGGACTTATTTGGGATGTATTTTGTTTTTCACATTTTATTTTAATTCGAAATAAAATAAGTGTTTCATTATAAAATATTTTGAAATGTAATTGAAAACATGTTTGGTAACATCTATTTGTTGTAAAAATATGAAAATATGTTTAGTTTAAAGTTTTTTAAGTTTGAAAAATATAATGGTTAGTTTAAAATTTTCATTTAAGAGTTCTTAAAAAAATAAAAAACTTAATAATTCTGGTTACCAAACGGTACAGTGCGGAAACACATCAAAATATTAATTTCATATTTTGATTTTTGACCATTATTTACAAAACGTTTAAATATGTATTTTACATTGTTCATTGTTACAGTAACCGACAAAAACAAAATACTAAAAACAAAACGTGTACTAAAGAGGCCTTAAGTAAGTTGATTAATAAAATGTAGGATTTCAGTGATCAATTATAAACAAAATTACTTTAGAGTGATCAGAAAATAAAAAAAAATGAAGTCATCATATTTAAAATATGAATAGTCATCATATTTAAAACTTAATTGCAGAGAAATGACTATTCTGATTTATTCTCTAAAATACCTTGTATACTGACTTGTGTATTTTGTAATTGAACAAATCTAGCCTTGGTTGGATGTAATGCAATACCCATTAAAATTATTTCAATCAAATGATTAAATATCGATTTTGCAGTCTCATCTACACTTTCATTTCTCTGCAAATTTAATTGTTATAATTGTCAAGTACATTTAATCAAAATTGTTGTGTAATTGTTTGCATCCTAAATTTAATTTTTAATTCGGACATATGGTGTTGACTGATTAGAGGAAAAAAATTTAATTCAATTGCATGTCATTAGTTGATTGGAAGAAAGAATGTGTATTTTTAGTGATAAAAATTGAATATTGTTATCCTTAAAGACTTTTATTTAAAAGTGAAATTGTTGGCAACTCTTATAAGTATTTGCACCTCAACATTAATTTTAATTGGCGACATGGCGATAGCTGATTGATGTTGTTTTGGTTAGAAACAAAGTAATATAGCCAACAAAATGGTAAAGCAGACTTTGATCATGATGCTGCGTCATTAGAAGTCCTCACTTTGTGGATAAGAATGTGTTTTTTTGAAGAAGGGAGAAGTTTCAAATAAGAATGTTTGAATTCAAATAAGGGATTTAAATTTAAACATTGTAAGAAGTATAATTGTTTTTAATCACTAGAAAGAGTCTTTATAAATAGCGCTGAAGGGATCCAAGCATTTTTTAAAATACAAATACATAGTTTGGAGGATATTTTGGATAATAACAATAAGTCTAAATGTATTTATAATTATTTTTTTTAATTCAATCAAAATAAAAATAAAAAGTTAACTTTTAAAGTAGATCAATTTGTGATTTAAGACTCCTAATTCTCTATATATATATATATATATATATATATATATAATTTGGAAAATGATATTTGGGCCGATGACTTTTACACATTTTTTAGGCAGAAACAGGTGGCTGTCCACGTGGCAGTACAGTTGTACGTCCCTCGATTTTTCTCTCCTCTCTCTCGCTCTCTCTTTCTAACAAACCCATTTTTTCCGTATCAGTTGGGTCTGTGAGATCAGTGGGACAAGATTGTTGCACAGAGGCTGGCGAGGACGAAGACGGAATGGACCAGTGAGCAAAGATGGTGCAGAGAGCACGGAACGTCAGTGCAGTGGCGGTGACGGGATCGGATGTGGAGAACTCGGCCGGTGAAGTCGCTGAGGATGATCTGACAGGCGGTGGTGATGGGCTGGCTGTGATGGAACGATGTCTCTTCACCGTTTGTGATTCTCAGACACGACCAGGTCATGAGAGCTTTGGAATCCTTCGCCATTGAAGGGTCTTCTTTGATACCCTTTTCTCATAAAGGAATATCATAGCGAGAATGCCAATTCCTGCTAAATCCCCAACTGCAATCCCTGCAATTGTCCCTGGATTTAGCCCCCTCTGTTGTTGATTAGGAGAATTCGGAGACCCATTTGGTGAATTTGTTACTGGAGTGGAGTCAATTGTTCTGGGTATGACCGCAATTACCGGAGAAGTGTTGTTTGTTATGACATTAGACAGAGTTGAGAGCGTTGAAGGGATTATACAAAGCTTCTTGAGTGGTTTGCCGCAGAAATCTGTGTTTCCGGTGAAAAACTCTGTTTTCTGATTATCTAAGGCCATGGATTGTGGGATTTCGCCGGTGAGATTGTTGAAGGAGAGATCAATTGTTACGTTTGCCGGGATATTCTTCACGGATTGCGGTGAAAGTGACCCAAAAAGCATATTGTAAGATAGATTCAAATATCTCAAACTCTGCCTACCGAAATCAACAGCCAATGACTCATTAAACATATTGGAAGACAGATCTAACACTTCATCGAAATCAAACCCACCCGGAATGTAATTGGAAAAATAGTTACTTCTCAAAGAAACAACAGTGAGGTTCTTCAAAGAGGTCAGATTTTCCATGAACTGCTGACTGATGTGTTCTGTTTATGTGTGAGAGAGAGAAACAGATTGAGAGAAAGACTTATCTCTGATCTCTGGGCAATTGAATGAGAGAGAAAGTTGTGTTGAGACTTGAGAGAGAGAGAGAGAGAGAAGAGACAGAGAGAGTGTTTGTCAGGGCGTGTATTATTTTTTATTTTTTATTTTTTATTATTATTATTAAAGCTACGTACTTGGACTGCACGGCTATTTTGCCAAACCAATCGGCAAAAGTCATCGGTCCATCTATCACGACCCATATAATTTTTTCAAACAAAACCTTATTTTTATGCTATAGATTTATTTTAGTCAGTTTATTTGGCCAATTGACTTAAATATCATTAATTTTGAAATCCAATACGTTTATTTTCATAAAGTTTATCCACTTACTTGCTAGTCAAAATAAAGAAATATAGCTATTATCGGTAATTAAAGAAGATATTTTAGGGTACGTTTGGCAGCACAATATTGGAAGCTTTGGAATTGGGATTGGAAGTCCCAATTCCAAATCCACTGTTTGGATAAAACGAACTGTTGGTCCCACTTTTGAATTAGGGTTTGCCCTTTAAATGTAAAAAAGACTATCACATGTCAACTTCATTATGT